TGAGCATGTAGAGGGGACATGGAATTGACATTTGAACGTTTATTTTTTCAAAAATCTCTCGTAAATGAACGGTGAGCTATATATTTGAGATAATAGTTGTGCATTATGACATGAAAGGAATCGGATGAACATAGTCTCCCGAAGGTGTTTTTTCGAAAATCGACATTTTTTGATTTCATACGATCGGACCATTCGGACACTTCCCATTCTAGTAATACTCTTCGCCAAGATAGGATATAGGTGTTATTGAGTTTTTTGTAGCCTCAACCTAGTTCTATAAGATGCAGTTTAGTTTGAAACTCCATCTGCTGTCTGTACAAAGTTATGGCTTTTCGAATAGACTTGACCCACTTTTTCTGAAAAATTATAAAAAGTTTTGCGATTCTGCTATAACTGCGCATCGCCCGCTTATATTATCCGTTTTGTGCTAGTCCGGGGAAGGGACATTTTTTGCCACCAATATCTAAGAAAAAGCGAGAGGACACTTCGGGTACATCCCTTGTCAGTGTAATTCTGAACGGATAATTGGTGTTGGTAAGATTAAATCGAAATCTCACGTGTAGTTGTTCAACTGTCCACCTAACTTCCTCATCAATGCGGAGTTCTTCTCTTGCTTCTACTTTATTTAACTTGTTTTTTGAATAAATTAAACGGACCCACTTCTCCGTGATCTCATAATCTCCGTCAAGAACAAATTCAGTCGTCAAACGCCTGAATGCTTGCTGCTGAAAACTACGATATTTTCACATGTTGAAGAACTTGAGAATTTTGTTTTTTTTCCACCATTTCCCAGCATTCTTTCATTTTTTCAAACTCGCATGTTCGAGAGGCCATTCACGTTACGGATAGGATGGGTTTTCCTTGGAGAGTAATTTTTTAAGAGTATAATGGAACATTTTTCAATTAAAGTTTAAAAAATGTTCAATTTTTTTCTACGCTGTTCTTCCCTTTTATACAAATTTGAGTGATAACTGATAAGTATGGTGTAACCGTGGAGAAGCGAAAGTTTATTGCATAGTAGGACTAAAAACCAATTACGGGTCATTAAAGGTGGGGGGACATGAAAAAAATAATGTTCTCGAAATTCCGTTCAAAGATGCCCCTCGAGGAGTTGAACTTGTGAGGGCGAGGATTGAGGGTGCGGCGCCGCTACCGACTGAGCCACGCGGGCAAAGAGAAAGCGCACGCCCGATTGCATACATAAAGGCGAGGACGACAGCTGTACGCAGAGTGACATTAAGCGTTGTACACCGTGACGGTAGAATGCATACTCTAGCTACAAAAAAACTACGAAAAATATCCTGTCCCCCCACCTTTAAAATTGACTGATAAAAATTTCTTTTCTTTTTGCTCCGTTGTAATTTTACTCCATCAATGGGTTTTGCTTTGATAAGAGCAAAGAATTGCGTTAAAACGTTGAAAGGATGTTTCACGAGAAACGTACAGCTTTTATGAGGAATAAAAATTTTTGACACAGAAAACATTGGCACCGTTTTACAAAATTTTAGTAGATACAATCATTATGGTTAATAATTACAGCATTTTTGCAGCAAACAATTATAAAGTGTGATCTTCATACAACACAATTTGAAGAAAAACAGTCAACAAACGAATAAGATTTAAAAAGCAAAATTCAAAAATTAGCACGGATATTTCACTGTATTGCCACTTTCAGAAGCACAGTATTCTCCAAAATCAATACTATCCAAAAGGTTAGTACTTCCATCATCCATATCCACTGATCGGATCCAAATTCCTCCCAATTTCTTGGAGTTGACATAGTCGAGTTTTGCTTCAACACTCTTTTTATCTTCAAACGTGGAAATCCACTTCTCGTTTTGGTTCCAAACATAAGAACTTTTAGTTGCCTCATCCCATGAAGCCTCTGAAAACTTGATGCCAGATTCTTCAGATTGTCTTCGAGATGCCCAAATTGTTCCTTGCACTTTTCCGGATTTCACCTCGGCTTTCCGGAACACCTCGCTCTTGGTTGGCTCCAATGCGTCCCCTACATTCTCCCATATTCTAACATCAAACGGAACCACGATATTCAACTTCTTTGGATCTTTCAGCTTACAGACATAATATTGCATCGTGTAATCCACAGTGAAATTTTCTCTTGGGTGTACTCCATAATACAATGGAGCAGCTGGTCCAGTTTTCTCACCCCATGGCCCATAGAAATCCATTGAGAAGACGTTGATAAAATCCACATTGTTGATCATCTCCTCCAAATTGAATCCCACTGGCCAGTATCCAGGTATCCCAGCTGGAGCAGAAGTTACAGATAGTATGAGATCCGAGTTTTCGGCTAACATGGTTTCTCGGAGGATTTTGACAAATTTCGAGTAATTATCGTTGTCTGAAGCAGTCGGCCACTTCCAAAACAAATCGACGCCATCAATTTGAGCAATTACGAGAAAATCGACAATGTTGTAAGCGAGTGATCTGGAAAAATGAAAAATCTTGACAAGCTTTTTTTGGGATTCTTACTTGCGAGATTTTTCAGTTTGCAAAAGCTCTGAGAAAAACCGATTTCCACCAAGAGAAATCATTACTTTTGTGTCTTCTCCAGATAATTGTTTCATTGATTCTAGTCGATTTTTCACATCGATGTTTTTGAATTCAATCGTTCCAGAAGAGGTCAAATATTCACTGGTCAAAACTGCATGCGTCAATTTTTTGAGCTGGTTTTCAGTGATTCCGAGATTTGGGGAGTCAGAGAAATATCCAATGATTCGTTTGGCACATTTTTGATCTTCTGGAACTGAAAACATTTGGGTGATATGAGGAAGTTTTGATACGTACGATTAGATGAAGATGTAGCTGTGGTTGGTACTGTAGTAGTGGTTGTGGGTACTGTATCTGTGGGTTCTGTTGTTGTTGTAGGTACTGTAGTTATTGTGGTAGGTACTGCAGTAGTGGTTTTCTTTTCTATGGTGAGTACTGTTCTCGTTTCGATAGGAATAATGGTGATCGTTGTGAAAGGTACAGTACTTGTAAGTTCCAAGTTTATTACCGGTTTAGTTGTAGTGGTTGTGGTAGGTACTGTAGTTGTAGTAAAAGGTACTGTAGTAGTTGTAGTAGGAAGAACTGTGCTAGGCTCAGTTGTAGTGGTTACTGTAGTTGTAGTCAAGATTGTTGTGGTAGTGTCTGTGGAAATTGTAGTTGTTGTTGTTGTTGGTACTGTGATTGTGCTAGGTTCAGTTGTTGTTGCAGGTAATGCAGATACAGTACTCTCCACAGCTACAGTAGTCGTTATGGGAGTGTTCGGATGATTTATCACACCTTTTATGTGGAGCAGCACAATGGATAATGTGATCGTGAGAACTCCGGAGATAATCATTCCATAAAGAAAAATTGTGATAATTTTTGAACGTTTTTCGGAGAGGAATCTGAAAAAAAACAGGCGTCGTCTTTCCAAAAAATTTAATAGTTCAAAATTTAAAATTCTTGAAACATCTTTAAACGTTTGAATAACCAACCTTGAATTCTTTTCCAATAGTGGATCCTCTGCTGGAGTCCGATTCATTCGAGGCGGAAGCATTTTTGAGATGTTTCAGAATTTTTTCCGAATGAACAAAAGTAATTCAGATGCCGGTACGACTCTATTTTGCTTTTAAAGCAACGAATTCCTTATTTCCTCAGCCCAGAACAACAAAAACAACCGGTTTTTGGAGACGTTATCATGTTGGGAATTAGTCATCGTTTGCGGTCATATCTATTTTTTGGGAGTTGATACGAAATATATTGCTCATTGTAAAACCAAATCAATTCATAAAAGGACAAACATTTAACAATACATATTCTATTTTTCTGGGTTTGAAATTTTTCAAAGAAAAATTTGAATTAAGCGTTTTTAAAAGTTGAAAAAAAAAGAATTTTTATAATTGGATTACGGTAGAATTTCTATGTTGTCATAAATAGAAAAATGACATTTCTGCCAGATAACATTTCTGAAAATGTCAAACCTAACCGACAATCATAATTTCAGATAATTATTAGTTTCAAACCTCAACTTCCTTCTGTTTTCTCTAAATCTCAAAAACAAATCTCACACATTTCCCTCAAGGAAGCTCACACAAACCACAGAATGGTCATCTTGGAAATTTTCGAAGATTCGAAAAGTGTTCAAACCTTCAAAATGAAAACTATCACCAATCCAGCATCTTGTTCATTCAAGTTCCTGGACACTTCTAATCTAGTTTTGATATTCCGGCTGGTCCCATTTTTCAGTATTCCGTCGTATTTGCTGGCATGGTTATTGGTATCCAGGAACAAGACAAAAGTGGTACAACCTGTGAAAAAACATTATTTGAGACAAATGGCAATGTGAGTTTGGGTTCACTACGAATTCGAGATTTCAGGTTTTTCAATAATTTTTTGAATGTGTTCTTGTAATCTAATTTCTCTAGAGTACCGTTAAAAATATCTGTAATAGAAGGACCCTCTAATGGGGTTATTCAGGGAGTCGGCAAAAAAGGAAAAAAAAACTCCGCGAAAACTCGGAGAGTGTTCCAATCTGGCTGAAACTTTGCGGAAACTGGAAAAAACTATAGGAAA